TTTTGCAATTACCAATTTGTACTTCTTATCCCTTCCCCTCTTCACCCATTCCCTAATCTCCAATCTGACAACCATCAAAATGCTGTCTGTATCTATGAGCTTGTTTCTGTTGTTTGTTTGTTTATCCTGTTCTCTAGATTTCACATATGACATTGGTCTTTCTCTGCCTGACTTACTTCATTCAGCATAATACTCTCTAGGTCCATCCATGTTGTAGTGTGTATCAGTGGTTCGTTTTTTTCATTGCTCAGTAGGATTCCACTGTATGGTGCTATGGACCGAATTGCGTCCCCTGCCTCAAAATTCATATTATGAAGCCCTAACATCAGTACTTCAGAATGTGACTATGTTTGGAGTTAGGGCCAAATGCTACAATAAACCTATGGATCCACATGTCCCTTCAAAGTAGTGTTTTGGATTTCTTTAGATAAATACCCAGAAGTAGGATAACTGGATATTTCTTTTTCTCTTGTTATAACCTTTGTTTTAAAGCCTACTTTTTTTCTGGTATAAGTATTGCTACCTTATCTTTTGAAAAATTTATTTCTGTTTTTATGAAACATCTTTTTTCATCTCTTTACTTTTAATTTGTGTGTGTCTTTTGATCTGATGTGAGTCTCTTGTAGGCAGCATATGTAAGGGTCTTGTTTTCTTATCCTTTCAGCCATTCTATCTTTGGATTGGAGCATTTAATCCATTTACATTTATAGTAATCGTTGCTAGATATGTAGTTATTGCCATTTTATTATTCATATTTTTTATATTTTTATCTTTTTTTTGTTTTCTTCTTAAGAAAGTCCCTCTAACATTTCCTGTAATACTGGCTTGGTGATGATGAACTCCTTAGGCTTTTTCTTGTCTGGGAATCTCTTTATCTGTCCTTGGATTCTAAATGATAGCTTTATTAGGTAGAGTAATCTTGGTTGTAGGTCCTTGCTTTTCATTACTTTAAATATTTTGTACTAATCCCTTCTGGCCTATAAAGTTTCTGTTGAGAAAGCAGTTAACTAACTGCTTTTCTCTTGCTGCTTTTAAGATTCTCTCCTTGTCTTTAATCTTTGACATTTTAATTATGATGTGTCTTGGTGTGGGCCCCTTTGGATTTGTCTTGTTTGGGACTCTCAGTGCTTCCTGGACTTGTATGTCTATTTCCTTCACCAGGTTAGGGATTTTTTCAGTCATTATTTTTTGAAATAGATTTTCAATTTCTTATTCTCTCTCTTCTCCTCATATATCTATGGTACGAATGTTGGTACACTTGATGTTCTCCAACAGGCCCCTTAAACTGTCTTCATTTTTTCAGATTCTTTTTTCTTGCTGATTGGGTGTTTTCTGCTACCTTATCTTCTGAATTGCTGATTCCATCCTCTGTTTCATCTAATCTACTATTACTTCCCTCTAATGCATTCTTCATTTCACTTATTGTATTCTTCATTTCTGACTGGTTCTTTTTTATGTTTTCTATCTCCACTTTTATGTGTTCTATCTCTTGGTTAAGGTTCACACTGAGTTCATCTACTCTTCCTCTAAGTTTATTGAGCATTTTATCTCCAGTGTTTTGACCTCTGCATCTGGTAGATTACTTGTCTCCATTTTGTTTAGTTCTTTTTCTGGAGCTTTGTTCTGTTCTTTCATTTGGGACATTCGTCTCTTCATTTTGGTTGCCTCTCTGTGTTTGTTTCTGCATATTAGGTATTGCTGCTATGTCTCCCGGCCTTAGTAGAGTGGTC